GGCTAGCCCATGTTTTTGTGAGCATTTTTAGCGTGCATAAATCAGCAGGAATGATTAGAAAACGGACAGGCTTAGAGTGTATACAAGCCAATTAATGTGTTCACCTGTAGAATAGGATATAAGCTTCACTTGTCAATTGTGCGATCTGCTCCGGATCTCTTTCCGTGACCAAATCATCATCAAATTCGTACCATTTCTGACTACGCCAATTCAGAGCATAGGTTATGTAGTGTCCACCCCCGTAGCCCCCGTGGTGACAAATCACACTGATCAAATCGTATGTGGTCACCTAGAAAAAAAATTCGGAAGGATGATTGATAACATGTTCCCAGGACAAAATCAAACAAGTTCAGCAAAAATTACGTGAAAAGGATCATACTTAGGAGAGTTACTTCTATGAACTTGATTTATTGGCTAAATGTGTAATGGGGTTTTGTTTTACCGAACGATGTTTAGATCAGAATTCATGAGGTTCCCCATCATCCACAGGACCAAAAAGTGGTTCTCTGGCAAAAAATGTTCTCCCCATACAAGCTAGATTCCCATAGACTTTATGTTCCTTCCCGCAACTGCTGGACCAGACCCAAAACCTCATCTCCCAAGAAACTTCCCTTAGACGACCACGATAAGATTGACTTAACTAACGCTTTGCGCCCTGATGAGTTTCTGCTCCGCAATCAAGTGCACCGATTAAAAGGGTTTTCTCATCAAATTTTCCGAGATAGAACGGCGTTGAAAATTTGATCATTATTGCAGTTACCGAAACTTGGCTGACAACCGACATTCTGGATTCACAATTACGCGTACCCGGCATGACTCGGCTCAGACGCAATCTACCTACGAGGGTGGTGGTGTGTCAGTTCATTTTAGCAGCACAATACAACGCGAGATAACTGATTATCCTGCTGCGGCTTCTGTCTCATTGTGGTGCAAAGTGCGACTGTCCAAACGCGATATCGGCTTGATCGGTGCAGTGTACCGCTCTCCTTCAACCACAGAATCAACCAATGAGACTAATGCGGACCATGTATCAAATTCAGTCACTGAACTCCTTATTATGGGCGACTTCAAACTGGCTAAATCAGTGACCTCTTTACAACTGTTTGAGAGGAAACTCGCTCAGTTTATTGAAGGAGCCAACCACTCATCGTCGGTTGCGGACTTGATGTTAGCTGAGGAGGAACTGATGGTGGAAACGATTTCTACAGCAACTCCATTAGGGTGTAGTGATCACGCCGTGTTGAAGTTCGACTACAATTGCTATGCATCCGTACCGCATATTTCTAAGATTAACTCCTGCATGTTTGTTGATTAAACCAAACCTTTTGGAATTTTCCCACCGAACAGTGTGGTCCCTTGATATCCTGGGAAGAATTTACGAATCACTTCACAGAAATGGTGAACGGCGTGACCACGACGAACTGGTCAAAAATTAGTGATTCGAAGTCGAACAAAGAAGTGCGTTTCGCAGAGGAATCTCTCATGGGGAGTTAGTGAACGATTTCCTTGTAAAAACACATAGTATACCTACTGTCCACTTAGAAACGACTGCACCAAGTTGGCGCGAGAAGACAAATTGATGTACCAAGAAATGCGGATGTGCAAGCTTATATTCAATCCCAAGCCGTTGTACAAACATAAAAATGCCTCCAGAAAAGTCAAGTATGGCGTCCCAGCGCCAAGATTGTCAAGACGTGTCTCAGTTACAACAAAAAAAGCAGAAGAAATGTTAAAAAGTCAGTACAGTCAAGTGTCCACTGCACCTGTGAACACCGGAATACGACTACCTAACTCAAGGACATAACACATCCAACGCTCACCACAATAAATTGTTCTTCAGAAATCGGAACATCGAAACTGCAGTGCTTGAAAAGAAATTCATCTCCGGGGATAGATAACATCCATCCAACAACCCTTATCAACTTGGCAAGTAACATAATTCAACCATTAAGTGAACTACACCAACAGATTTTCGACAAAACTGCTCCCACAAACACGGAAACAAAGAATAGTTTTACAAAGGTGGCTGCCGTAGAGACTCAGCTAAATACCGCCCAGTATTATCTAAAGTCATGGAATCCACTGTGGTAGACAATGTGATGAGTCACTTGGAAAAATGCAACGTTTTACCCCCGGTGCAATATGGGTTTCATCGCAGGCGATCGTGTACCACTAACCTGCTTCTGGCCAGGGTGGAAAAAATCAGTTGATCACGGCGATGTATCGGACGTAGTGTACCTCGAATTCTCCAAAGTATTCGACCGAGTGGACCACAAAATACTGCGGTGGAAACTACGTAATTATGGAATTCGGGGATTTGTACTGGGATGGATAGAAGACTTTGTTTGGCAATGCACCATGGTAGTTCGGGTTTCTGAGTCACTGTCTGATCCTAAAAGCGTAGCCCGAGGGATCCATGATTGACCTTCAACTTTTTCTATACATATTCTATATATTTACCACCGACTTGTAGACAAACATGGTGCCAACGCAACAACAATAATCACAATAACAATAACAACTTTTCTAGTTTCCATAAACGACCTAACGAATATCCTGGGGCCACAAACGTTAATGTTTTCAGACGATGCAAAAATATGGATAACAGTGACAAAACCTGAGGATTCACTGGCACTTTCAGAGAACACCTAATACTGCTTATTAATGTTCGCTCGAAAACAAAATCGAGTTCAATGCATCACAATGTATGATCGTATCCCTTCGCCACACAACTCGGTTTCCGGATTTCTTGAGATATCAACAAGCTCCGTATGCCTCGCATAATTATCTTGGTGCCATTCTTTAAGACAACCTAAGCTGTTCTTTAAACTGCTCAAGGGTGTCATCCAACGCTGTAAGAAATGTTGGTTCGATACAGCGATTATTCAGCAAATTTGAACCTATGCTGTTTCCAAGTTTTTACTAGCCTATATTCGACCCCACATCGAGTATGAAATTCAAGCGTGGAACCCATGGCTGCAACGTGATAGGAAGATTCTGGAACGTCCACTAAGAATGATTAAAATGATCAATGAACTTCATTCCGAAACTAATGTGGGAAGACAGAATCATTGGGGCTGTACTCTACTCAGTATCGCAGAATTCGAGGGAACTTGATTTTGGTGGATCAAATAATGCAGAACCCTGATCAGCTGTCGTTCACTGTTCGCCTTGTCACCCAACGCTCATCTCAGTGCTTCAAAAATGTTGACTAGAATGCCAGCGTCATTCCTTTGCCCTCAGAGTGTGTAGTATTTGGAATTCTCTAACACCTCACGTTGTTTCTGAGCCCACAATTGATTATTTCAAGCACAAACGGGATGAAACTTCGAAGAGTCTTGAATTTCAACATCCACAGCAATGCACGAAACACAGATAATTTGGCATTCCCCAACTTTCTATGAACCGTAAATCGATCCATTTGTACTCAGCCCTACGGGACCAGAAGAGCAACACTTGTAACCATTTATCATAATAAAAATTTGATTTTCGCGAGATTTTCAGTTCTGCCCTAAAATGGTATCATATCATCAATAGATTCAACCTATTTTTAGTTACTGAATGTTCCATGGTATTCCCACATGTGCCAAAAATTACACTGGATAAAAAACCTAATCCAGTATTCAGAGGAATTTAGGAAAGTTTCAGTTTCACCAGCTGGTATATTCACTGGCCCTTGGCACCGTGGATCGCCACGGAGTCTGCTGAAGACGATGCACATCAGTTTGTGTGCCACTCTTCCCACCCAAGGCTAGACGTCGTAGCTCATCTTGTTTAGTTAATTAATTAAGCTGCAAACAGTTTCAATGGTTTGAGCATTATTGTGTCCGATAGATTTTGTACCTTGAAAATGCAACGTGCCGTTGTGGGATTGGTATAGTCCAACCTTTAACCTCACAGACTGAGGGAGAAACAGAGAAAGTCGGCAACCTTTGCTACTTGGGCGGTTACACCTCATGTAATATGGCATTTACCAAATTGAGGCACTTCTGGAGCCACCGTAAAATTCGGTTGTCTGTGAATGGTCGAGTATATGTAGTAACTGTACGGTCGACTCTCCTTTATGATGTAGAGGCATAACTGTAACAACGGAAAGATAATGACAGACTATCGCTACCGATGTTGCATAGCACGCGTCTGGTGAGACAACCGGGCAAGCAATGATGAAATTGCGTTCAGTTTGATGAAAATCTCAATCGCCCACTGGAGCAAGTGCTGGACGTTTACAGATTACGGTGAATGTGACACGTGTTACGCATGTGACCTATGACGTTGCCTAGGCGTGCAATGTTTGTCGAGGCAGTGATTGGGTGAAAAACTCAAAGGATGGTTTAACTAAGAGAGTATGAAAAACCTGATCAGGAGACCAAATCACACAGGTCGTTTTAGGCTTCTTGATGAGGACTTCAGGATCATTGTAATCGATGGTTGGAAACACTGAGAAAAATGGCAGCATCGTAAACCGTGGTGCTCGCGCAGCTACTCAATTCCTTCGCAAATTTAGTTTACCTATATTTGGTATTTTCACAGCGCTGCTGCTTGTAGTTCTCACTTCTTCCCTTCACTTTTTCATCATATCACGCAGACAGTGACCGAAACCGTCGAGTGAAATAAAACGATTAACGGTTGTGTGTTTTGCCGTAGTTCCGACAGGAATGGTGCGCACAGTCTCCGATATCTACACCGTAGATAGGTAGTTTATCACGGATAACGACAGTAGACGAACGTATTAAGGTGCACACACCCGGCCCGGAAGGCGGTCTATCTTTGAGATGGAACTGACGTGATGCGCAGTTTAGTTATTTTACCCTTTTGTTTCCTCCCATTAAACAGACTTTGTATCAAAAGGTTTTTTTTTCAGATGACACACACAAGTGCGGAACGTTGGTTGTGATGATAGGATTTGAAAAAAGCCCAAGAGCTTTTGTCATTGCACTGCTATTGCATGACGTAACTTATTCGTTTTCCACCCACTAGTTGACGCATTGACGCTAGGCCCTTGTTTTCCCTTCACGACTTTGTTCTCAATCAACAAGATGCCAAAAAACAATATACGAAGCTCTCCACAGTAACAGACGTATTTCTGGGTTGAAGTATGTCTATTGTTTAACAGGAAAATGAAGTCGTAATGTTGAAAACGAGTTAGCATATAAGCAGTCAACACAGACTTGAATCGATGAAAAAATGGTGACTCTGGATCTGGTGGCACGTACCTCATCTGTACAATCTTCATGCAAGTATGGTCTCAGATCCAGATCATGTAACGGGAAAGCAACTGCCGCGGTGATTTTCGACGTGTCTGTGTAGTGACTACGAAAGCGTTTCAGATGCACACACAGAACCTCCGGAAGGGATAAAAGTGCATATTGGTTGAGTCCGTTGCACAGCCTAACAGAAATTAGAGATTGTAATGATATGGTTACAAAAAGATGAAACTTAGGATACGAACAGACGGAAGCACCATAATCAATCGAATAAATGCTGTATGTTAAACCATTCTGGTGAGCAGTTTATCAATAGACAGGCTCCCTCGGTAAACGTTATTTAACTAAATCGGCAGTGAGTAGAAGGCCAAGGGTGGCCAAACTAAAATTTACCATAGGGGTATGGAGACTATGACCAAAGGGTTTAGACAGTTATGCCTCATTAGGGATCCCAATTTGGGACTTCTGGGCCTCTGGTTGGAGACACTGAGTGACATGGCGAAGTGCTATAAACTGTAGCGCTTTTGCGTGTACTCGAGTTCTTCACACAGGTAGTGCATCTTTACCCTGGTTCTGCCTACAGCTTGCACTTCTTCATCGTACTCTTTCATCCGACTAGTCAGAAAAAAGATGGCAACCAAAAACGCAGCAAGAGAGTACATGATTGACGGTCGTATGAGCTGAACTGATAAGCAGTGATATAGGGTCAATAAAAAGANACGGAGTTCAGTTTCTTTCTTTTGCACAGTAACACTGCATGATGTCACTACTCGTTGGAATTCGTCAAACAGTAAGATAAAGTGATTCTACTCCAATAGCTTGTACCCTAATGCGCGCAGTTGGTGTGAAGCAATAGAAAAAGGTGACTCGTGAAACAAAAACACCATCAATCTTACATAACTTACAGAGTCAGTAGGTGAACAATTAGAAATTCTGACTTTCTATGAGACCGTAAAATAGACCTCTTCTCAAGGATAAAATTATTTCGACCACAGTAGATGCTCATGTGGTTAACTGCCAGATTGATTTTTAAAAGCTAAAATTCCGTTCTTAGAAGCTGTAGCACCAAGCAGAAATGTCAGAAACTACATTTATTCCGCGTTAGATGTAGTCGTTGGAACAACTGTGGAATATCTCACAGAGTAACAAAGCTGACAACTCGCAACAACATAAGATTCGGATTAAAGGTTATCCGTACGATTAGGCAACTTACACAGTAGAAGGTGTTAAAACCTGGTGGACTAAATCCACAAGTGTACACCGACAACTCTCGTTAGTCAGCTGATGAAACTTCTCAATTACGTATGTTTGAACGAACAGAATAGGTTTCTAACAGATCTATCAGAAAACAGAAAGATCTTCCTGTGAGAATCAGAAAATAACCGGTCTGTTCAACATTACATCGAGGATCCTCGACCGATTGCGGGGTACAGCCAACCGGCATACGACTGAAAATGAGGTCAGTTTCTGGCATAGCCCTGTTGCATTAACCATTTCCTCACATACGTACCATGGATGAGCTCTCTCTCTCTCTCGCTCAATCGAATAAGCGTAATGTGATAGCAGCTTCCCATATTATGGCGAGCGCAATAAAATTAAGTGTGTTTTGCTGGTGCTTTTCGCCTGTTTACGTACCTTTTTGATGAAAATCATCTCAGATACTCGCATATTCTTGTGATATTCGTTACAGTGAATTCCACAGAAACAGACAAGTGTTGTTGAATAACGAAAAAATTCCCATTGTTCTCCGAAAAAATGGGANNNNAGATAAAAGTAGGTTGGTATCTGCACTAGTGAACAGCTACTTCAAAATATATCATCTCCGCCATAAACGGGTAGCGCGGTGCCCAAGCAGTGTACTATGTTTGCTGAAATCTAGTGATATGAAGTGGTGTTGATGGAGGTTGATGAAGTCAAAAAGCGACGTAACGCTCAAAAATAATTTCATCCCATCAGACATCTACACGCACCTGATGAATAGATTGGGGACGAGGTTGGGTTACACATACACAAAACGAAAATGCGTCAGCGTTGTCATCGATGCCGTACTCGCTTGCCGTTTAAAGTCCAGTATATGTCAACGCAGTTCGCCCGACTTGGTTCGGAAACGTGCGCGTTACCAGTAAAGGATGTAGAAAAAGATAAAACCTGCTTCGTTATCAATCCGCATTGAATACCAAGGTAACTTCCCAGTTCGCTGATGATATGGCTAAATATGCTGAGTTTAGTATTCTTGCACTTCTCCGCTTTTCCGTTTTTAGGCACTGTTTAGTCATACACAAGCGTTTTAGGTAACTCACAACCGTGTGCATCTCAATCAAAAAGTGACACATCTGAAGAGTCCTTCGTTTGCAAACTAGTGATAATTTTCAAAAGTNCAAACTAGTGATAATTTTCAAAAGTACGGGCTCACTTCTAACAGCAAGCGCAAAGCGGTTTGTGCAGATGGAAAAAATTGAACGATATCGCACGAAAGTAGTTTATATTACTAGCGACGTAGGGAGTAGACAAAACAAAATTATAACTTTTTATCAGAGGCTGATGGGTCGACAGCGGTCATATAGAAATCATGCCGTGATTTCGATAGGCGCGATTCGGTAACACCAACCACAATGACTGAACTCGATAGACCAGAGACAGTTTGCAATAAACAAAGGATGCAACGTGAATTAGAAGCTGGATTCAAGGGGAATATTTTCTCTCTGACATGACCACTGGAGGACAATACTGTACGTCGCTCGAATCGTAATCGACGGCAATCGCGCAGAACTTTCCCGTGGTTGCGTTTTCAATATACGATGTGTTTGATTTCATTCGAATGCCAAGTAAATCATCAGAAGTGACAAGAGGATGTGCGTATCATTAATAGAATCGGTTCAGAATGAACAACGTTGCGAAAGTAACACAAAATCTGGAGTTCTACATCAAACATCAAGTGCATCAACCTCACCGAAATGCAACGCCCGTAACAATAAATCAATATTTTTCATTAAAGGGGGAACGTAGTCTTCTGAATTCGGGTTTCAAATCGACGCTTCTCAGCACCGAGAAGGATTGGCAGCCTCTTATGTTGTACAACGGACAAGAATCAAGTTAGCGCTCGGTGTCAGTGACAAGAGTTAAACAGTAAGGCCTGATGACGGGTCTATTCACACGGTTTGCACTCTA